TATCACAAATATCTTCATGCTCTTCACTTTGAATTCCAGTCTCATCTACATGACATTCATCAGAATGATTGACTTCATGATGCTCACTTTCCTCCTCTCTATTAGAATTTTCATCGGGTTTCTTAACTCTCTTTACATACTTGAACATAGAACCTGCTATAGAGTTGATGAATGCTTCTTGTTTCTTCTTCTTTTTTCTTTTATCATGACCCGTAGGTTGGCTTCTTATAATTCCAGGTTGTTTGCTTTTTTTAACTCTCAAACGTGGCATTTCTCTACAAACTGAAACAAGAAAAAAGAAAAGAAAAAAAATAACATACAACCATCAAAAACTATGAAACAATTACAAAAAAAACAGAGAAGTAAAAAGAAAATTGAAGACTAAAGAAAACAATGAAAGAAGAATATTATATAAAGAAATTCCAACAAGCAGGGGTAATAGCAAACCAACGTTATTGACATGTCTCAGATTTCTATTAGAGGTTTCATGTTTCTAAATTCTAACCAAAACCAAACCAAAGTCAAGAGACTCAAGACGATACAAGTGGCCAAGTGTTCGTCAGTTCGTGTCATGGTAATAACTATGATTATATGAAACTTTATGCAGCGACAATTTTTTAACACAAATCAAAGCCAAAAAGTTAGATTTGATGAAAGTGTTTGTCTCATATTTTAACAGAGCTAATGATCCATCCATTCTAAAATTGGAGTTTAACTAATTACTAGATTTGTAGCTCTTTTCTACAAATTCTACAAAGATGAAAGTAAAAAAAAAACAATAAATTCATAAGCAAAATTAACAATTAACCTCAAAACTTATGAATCACTAACCGTGCAGAAATCAGAATTCAGAAGACGTATCCTCTCCAAGAAGAAACCTGGAAGAAACTGTATCGTCTTTTTTTTTTTAACTCTAGCTTTTAAGGTTTTTTTTACTTTGTATAATAATATGTAAAAAGGCCCAGAAATGAAAGGCCTTATAAAATAATTTATAGTGTAGTCCACCAAATTAAAGGCTTTGTAAAAAAAATTATATGAAAAAATAACAAATTTCTATCTAAAAAGGCTCTCAAAATTTGAGGCCCGAATCCATGGCTTCAGTGGCTTATCCTCTGGGCCGGGCCTGCGGGTTAGAACCGATAATTGAGCTTTCGTAGACTCGGTTTAGGTTTGGTTCAATGTCCATGTTATGGTTAAAAGGTTGTTATAGTTGTTGTAACAAAACATGCTATATAAAAAGGTAGAGCTTGGTTCGATCTTGTGCATGATACATGTGTGATTTCTTCTGAGAAATTCAGTAACTGAGAAGATAGTGAATTGCTAATATCACCTAGTTAAGACGTAGGGATCTCGATCAATACCCGAACTCGTAAAAGCCTCGCGTCTTCTTCTTTTTCTTCTTCTACCTATTTCTTGGAACCTCTGTTCCTGTTCTGTTTTTCTTTCTTTTTTTTTCTTTCATCGCGGTGGTTCTTGAGAGATTGAGAGAGTGAGTGTTGATAAAGATTGAAACAGATTGAGATCTGCAGATTTGGTTGACATAGTTTAGTTAAAACAGTGGCAAGATTCATGCAGCTTATAGAGGAAACAATATACCAAGAAAGGCTTTGATATAAAGGTGATCAACGAATAATCTGAATTTTGCAGAAAATATGATGAATGATCAAAAATGTGAATGTAACTCTTCTTGAGCTCGCAAGAAAAATTAAGAATCCTCAACATCTAGGGTTTAAATATCACAATTTGAAGGTTTTTGTAAAACCTAAAAAGCTCCTATTTACACTTTTAGATTGGGGCTTTAAATCGATAAAATAAATCTTAAGCATGTAATAGATTCTTTACATTGATGTATATATACAAAACAAATTCATATTTTCCCAAAAAATCCTCTGTAGCAATAGCACAATGGAAAAACAACTGTCTCATTGACACTTGATTTCCCGAAATCAACTTTTTTGTTTTTATATGAGATCAAGACTCTTTTGTTTAAAAAAGAACTAGGTAGGACTCGTTCATATGTTAAATTGTATATTTGAAATTCATTTTCTATTTTGTTAAAACTAATATATTTGATATATGTATTATGAATAGAGAATAGTGAAGCAATATAAATTTGTAGAGTTTTAACTATATTTTGACGACTTGCTAAATCTTAATATTCAAATTTGTGATATGTCTTTGCTAAAAACAAGTTTAGCCATTTGGGCTCTTCGTCTTTAGATGGGGATTCTCTTAATTCAGATGGAGACTCAATTGTTTCATCTGGATTGATGGAACTAATGACTCCTTCTGGACAACGACTTTTGCGCGAAAGACCGGTTAAGCCGCCCATCAAAGCTAAGGAGATACAAGCGTCTTCTAATACTCGGGGAAGAGGTAACTGTGGACGCGGGAATAGTGGTCGGGGGAACGTGGACGTGGCTAGTTCTTCTAAAAGCCAACCGAAGCGGAAGATTCGGTTATCATATTTATATAATATTGGCCAACGGCTGTATCGTGTATCTTGATTAAAAAATTGTGTGATTTTTTTGTCATGGCTTTTGTAATGGTTTATTAATAATATATATATATATATATATATATATTAAGTAAAAAATATATATATATATATATATATATTCAAATTTGAATATAACAATTATTATTACAGGTTTTTATTTTTATTTTTCAATGTATTAAATCAAATTAGGTAACATAGAATTTTTTTTATTACATTTTTTATTTATTTATTACATGGTTTATTTTTTTAAAATAAATCATCTTATTAGATAACATAAAAAAAAATTAATTATCTATTTTTTATTAATTTATAAATACTAATCATATTTTTGATTATTTTTCTATTAATTTATGTGTAAATTTCAAGTATATGTTAATTTAGTTTTCCAATTGTAACCAAACAATTTATTTTAATATAAATTCGATATATCTAAATTTGGTAACTTTACATATATAATTTTTTTTCTGCTTTATGTTTGTTTGACCATTGATTTTAAGAAATAAAGATAAATAGGATTTTTCATATTTGGAATCTAGGGTATTTGGTAATAAGGATAGTAAAATAAATTAAAAAAAAATTGTTGAGAAAAATTATGGGCTTACCGCATAAGCACCAAAACTCCTCTTTTAATATATAGATGATTATTGCATTAAATTAATGATTAGGACAAATATCCGCTGTAGCACAATGGTTAAAACAACTATCTAACTGATAATTGATTTCCGGGTTCAAAGCCTGGCAGCGGAAAATCTTTTTTAAAATTTTTTATATTCTTTTGTCTCACTTTTCACTTAGGATTTAGTGATTGGTGAATCTTTATTCCCTATGATCAAGATTTATTATATTATTTAAAAGAATGGAGAATATTAATTAGAGAAACTGTTAGCAATTTGACTATACAACTCAAGATCCTAAATCCTAAATCTTTCTTCTAAACCATTCAAGCCTAACAAACAAAAAGTGGCAAGTACGGTGAAGAACCATCATCAGATTTTCCCTAAAGTTTACTTTCTCTAAGATATCTAGAAATTTATTATGAATAAATCTTTCCAATGCATCACCTTCCATTAGCCGGACTCGAGGCTTGAGCGGCTCAAGTTGAGCCTGTCGGTTATCGTCTCTCTTAGCTTTGTCGGCTTGAGCTCGTCGTACAGCCAACAAGTTCTGTCTTTCATGTTCTTTCAACATTTCATCTAAGTTTCCTTCTCCTGGAATCAGTGGTCCTGAGTACTCTGAATCATCCCTCTCTTCTCGCTATCATAACCCTATATATTTTCACCAAATTATGTTTAGCCACAGATATAAGAACAACACGAGAACATACAACAACACAACAAGAACAATGTTATCAATTCATAGCTAGAGGATGAGACGTAATCTTTCTTCAAACCATAGGATTTGAGAACATGAAGGACATTAGAAAACATGTTTTAAAATATTAGAAATACTTAGTTAACAATGCTCTCATTCAAATTCTAGAACTTAGAAATGCATATATGTAAGACATTCCATGAATGAATTAATTTAGTTGTAAATATGTTGTTATACATGTCCCACATTATGAAGACAAAAAAAAAACATCTTAGATGTGTGCTCAGTTATCAAAAATTCACCCCCTTATCATTCTCACGAACCACTATTTTTCATTGCGATATTTATGTCAACAAAGAATTTGAACCGAACCAAATTGACCAAACCGAACTGAACCAAAGTTGATCCATTTTGGTTTTGTTTCTCTTTTGTATTGCATACCAATCGACACATTTCAAATTAATTTCGGTTCTCGAATTTGGTTCAGTTAGGTTAAGTAGTACCATACCGACAGTTCTTCGTTTTCTTTTGTTTCTATTTTTAATCGGTTTCAGTCGAAATAGCCGAAGAACCAACCTAACCTAAATTTTGACATTAACCGAAATATACCAAATTTAACCGAAATATACTGAATTTCTTATAATTAAAACCTAACCAAACCGATTTTGTTTTTTGGGTTTCTTCGGCAAAGTTTTCCCCATACCGAAAAACTGAAGAACCGAACAAGTAACTAATCGAACTAATCCAATGCCCTACCCCTACAAGCCTTTTTGTTTTGCACGATAGTATCACTTTATTTGAAGGTTTTAGTAAAAACATGTAATAAAATCTTTACCATGTAATAGACCCTTTAAAATTATGTATATAATGAAAATAAATTCTTAATCTATCAAAAAATCCATTGTAGCACAATGGTTAATTCAAATATCTACGGATATATGATTCTGGGTTTTGAACTTTGATCATTTTGTTTTTAGATTTTATATTCTTTCGTTTTGAAAACATAATGAAAACGCCTCATTTTACTGTGTGACCAAGACAAGACCAGTTTCTCTCCTTTCTCGCCTGTAAGAACCGTATCTTTAAACAGTCATAGAATAAAGATCTCTTGTGTTCTGTTCCAATGAGAGAGCTAAAGTTTCTCATTGAGAAGAATGAACTAGATATGAAATTATGAAACAGTAAACAATTACTTAATCGAGATTTATTAGATTATCAAAAGAATGGAAAATATAAGTCATGTAAACTGTTAGCAATTTGACTATACAACCCAAGATTCTAAATCCTAAACCTTTCTTCTAAACCATACAAAGTCTAACAAACAAAAAATGGCAAGTATGGTGAAGAACCATCATCAGATTTTCCCAAAAAGTTTGTTTATTATTGTACTATTTTCTCTAAGAAACTCATTATGAATAAATCTCCCAAAATATCACCTTCCATTAGCTGGAAACGAGGCTTGAGCTTGTCGGTTATCGTCTCTCTTAGCCTTATCGGCTTGAGCTCGTCGCACAGCCAACAAGATTTGTCTTTCATGTTCTTTCAACATTTCATCCAAGTTTCCTTCTCCTGGAATCAAGGGTCCTGAGTATTGAATCCTCCCTCTCTTCTCACCATCATAGCCCTGTTTTCACCAAAATATGATCAGCCACAAATATGCGGACACAAGAAACTAACAACAACAATGATATATTTGTTTTTACCATTATTGAATCTTTGCTAGAGGATGAGGGGTCATCTTTCCTAAAACCATTAGGTTTCTCCAGCAATCTTTGGGACAAATTGAAATTCTCTGAACCATCTTCAAGCCAGCGTTGATTCACTATAGCGTCTCTCATACTTCCAAACTGTGATCCATCTCTAGTAGGTGCCATTGAGTTTGAGAATCTCGACAATTGGGCTGCCCCGCGTTGGCCATAGGACCTTTGCGTTCTCAGTTGGCTTGATCCGTTAGGATGATTGTCTCCGTTTGTGTAGATTGGGTAGGGATTTTGTGCGGTGATACCCTTCAGTGGTTCGATCCGGAAGCCATTGCCAGAATCTCCCTCAGGATTGAACGTCTCACTCACGCTTGTCTTGTTAGTCTGCCCTAGCCGTTTCTTGAAAGGAAAAATTCCAAGCAGTAAGATAGAAGCATAGGCATACATACACAAACACACACACATGCATCTATAGACTAAGAAGTTACCTGTATTGATGACAGTAACTCAGCATTGGCGCTAGGAGCCGGTACAGCTTTGGACTCCCTAGCCAACCGCTTCGGTTCATTCTGTTTACTGCTCGCACCTTTCCTTCTGCTCATGAGAAAAATTGGGAGTCATAAATGTTACTGCGATGATACTAAGAAAAAACTTGCAAATGGTGACAAAAGGTGGAGAAGCTCTGAATCTTACCGTCTTGCTTCCTCTTCTCGAAGCTTGGCATCAAATTCTTTCCTTGGCTGATATCTCGGTAAACTTGAAGGCTCGCTTGGAAAAGGCTTTGTCGTAAAGAACTGAAAAAAAGGAATATCAACATGTATGTATCAGATAAATTGTAAAAGTACGCAAAAAGTGTAAAACATATTGAAGTCTGAATCTAGTAGCAGAGTTAACTTCTAGGTTAACCTCGCTTTGAAGGGCAGAAGATGCGGTTCCACGTGCATCTGGTTCTACAGCTAGAAGAACCTCAAGGAGGGCCAAAGCTGAAGAAGGAAGATCCTTAAATGTATCGGCTACACATCGCTTGTACGGATGTTGAGGTTTAAAGATGGTTGCATGCCGCAAGCGTGATCTTCTCCAATACTCCTCAGAAGGTGATCCACAGAGTTTAAAGATCTTATGCATTTGTTCTACCTGTTTATATAAGAAACAAAAGGTTCTTTTGATATGCCTACCTAATATAACATAAAACGTTTAACTTGTTTGGCGTAATCAAAGCCAACATGCCAAATCTTAAAAGGGAATTGTGTTTCATAAAGGAAACTATACCTCGGTTCTTCCGGGCAGAAGAGGCTTTCCAGTAAAGAGTTCAGCAAGTATGCATCCTGTACTCCATAGATCAACCGTAACTCCATAGTCAGTTGACCCGAGCAGAAGTTCAGGTGGACGGTACCACAATGTCACAACCCGGCTAGTCAGAGGCTGCTTTCGTTGGCCCCGGTAAAAGTTAGAAAGACCAAAATCACCAATCTTTAGATTATTGTTACGATCCAGCAGAAGATTTGAGCACTTGATGTCACGGTGCAACACTCCACAGCTATGGCAATGTTCTAACCCAAGCAGCAATTGCTTCATATAGCATTTAATCTGGCAAAAGCATATCCAATGTTACAAAACTGATTAGAACCACACCAAAATCACTACAAACGCCTAGCATACACACTTCAGAACATTGTTTACCTGTGCCTGAGAGAACTTAATCCCAGGGGTTGAAGCAAGGCCTGCGAGATCATGATCCATATATTCAAATATAAGATACATACTTCCCGAAGCCTTCGAAATGATTAGCCCTTCGAGTTTCATAACATTTGGATGGTTAAGCCTACGAAGAATGATAATTTCTCTCGCCATAAACCTCACACTCTCAGGATCCATATTAGCAAACCGAACCTTCTTAAGCGCAACAATCTGGTTAGTTTCGAGATCACGAGCTCTGTACACACTGCTATACGTCCCCTGCCCAATCTGCAATCGAAAAAAAAACCAAAACTTCAGCATCATCTAATATTCAAAAACAAACACTCCAAATTCGATTGAAAATCCCCTCACCATCTCCAACTTCTCGAACGAATCAGCACTACGAGGAATCCATCCATTAATAGCTTCACCAGCAACTGAAACTAACCAAGAAGGCCAACCAGCAATAACCTTAGCAGCTCTATCTCCATTACTAACACTACCAATCCTACTCATCCTAGGCTGCAATGGTCGTACATTATCAACTATCTCCAAAACATTTCCTTTTTGCAACACTGATTCACAAGATTTCATCTCAAAACTACTCTCTTTCTTCTCCTCCTCCTCCACTTCCTCATCAGAGAAAGTTTCCTTGGTCTCATGAGGTATTAACCTCAATGTAGCTTCGTTTCCATTAACACTAGTTTCCTCTAAATCAGATTGTTTCTTTGAAGCTTTAGGATTCTCTTTCCCAATACTTACATGATTGGTCTCAACGTAATCATCATTAGTTCGTACTCCTTTAGAGCAAATACAACCCATAATTTGATTCTTCTTCCTTCTTCTTCACAGAAACTAATTCAAATAAAGATTCAACCTTTTTCGATTCCACAATGCAAAGATTTGAACTTTAGTATCTAAATAACGAAATTGATGAAAAGATTTGTAAGAAAGTGTCGAAATTTAAAGAACCCAGAAACAAAATCAGATCTTTGGATGAAGAAGAAGAAGAGGAAAAGGTGAGATTTTTTTTGTGTAGATCTAACAAAAACTGGGAATTTTTCAGATCAACATTGTTGATTACGAAAGAAGTAAGACTTGGTCAAGTAAAGAAGGAAAATTGAGGAGAAAGATGGAAGAATTTTTGGGAAAGGAGAGATTTTCGGATCTGGGTTGGTTCATAGTGGTAGAGTTGAGGAAAATGAAATTGAAATTAGAGGTAAGTGAGTCGGTTGGTTTAGGGTTTTCAAAAGGAAATTTTGAGGAAAAAAAGAAAAAGAAAAAGAGAATTGATGAAGAAGGAAACAGAAGCAAAAGAAAAAGTCAAAGGTTATGGAGGATCTGAGAAACTAATTAAGGTTATTAATTTATTATACTAAATGACTTTATTTCTATTTTTCTAAATTTTAATACCGAATTATCCTAACCAAATACCGAATTAAACCTGAATTTTGTATAAGAAAATCAAGAATTTGAAATCATATTTTGGTTAAATTTAGAAGAAAAATTCTTCGATGAGGGACAAATAAAGTTTACAAATGGGTCTAAAGTTTAGAATAATTACAAGAAAACTAGTATAGGTTTTTTTATGCGCGTAGGATAAATGTGGTTGATTTCTTGGACATTTGTATTTAATGTTGGTTAGGTGAATTGATGCTTACACGGCGACAAAAAGAACCGATATAGAAAACGTCTCGACGGAAATGAAAATATTTAAACAAGTAATCTAGTTGCATAGACATTCAATGAATATATTACATCATTTTGACATTTGTATATATAACACGTACATAGAATGTTATAAATAATAATAGTGTTAAGTAATCTATATCTACTAAATTGACAGTCACTTTTTCAATAACTGCAACTCTATCTATCTTACACGTGTCTTAAGTCTCAATTCTTCTACTTTTACTTTTGGACACACATTATCTATTAGAGAACAAAAAAAAAATTGACAGAAAAAAAAGAAAAACAGTCGTAATTTGCAACTGTTCTTTTCCTTCCCCAGTCCCCACGATCTAAAATTCTCAAATTCCCTTCCCCTCAAACAAAATATTATTATTTCCTACAAAAAGCCTCCACCTGTTCCTTCTTTCTCTGATTCCGTTTTCCTGCAATTTCTTCTTAATCAACTGCTTCCATCCCACCATTTCCAAATTCTCAACTTCTCCTCCATCCCACGGATAAGACAAAAGCATCATCAGTCTCTTCCATTTTCGATTCCCTTTTCCTCTACCTCATCTCCATTTTTTTCAATAAGATTTGTCATTTAATTGAATTTAAATTTATAAACAATTTTAATTTTAATTAAAAACACCCTAAAGTCATTTCTTCCCGTGCAGAGCACGGGCTATAACACTAGTTAGATCTATGTATCTAAAATAGCTGTTGATTACTTAACACTATAAGGAAGGAGCTAGTTATAAACCATGGTTAATCAACAACTATACATATATAGAGCGTTATTAACATTTGTATACTTATTATATGCACGCTACAACATATATATTATAACCATCATATCCTAAACCGTCGAACATAGCAAGTGAGCAATGCATCGCAATTGGACACTGAAATATCATTAGAACCATACTTTTCGTCGGATTTTTAATAAATTTTTACCGGTTTTTTCTGAACCTTAACATAAGTATTGGTCTAGCCGCTAACATACTACTCACTTTCTTCTCTTTTTAATATTTTCCTTTATTTTAATGAAAAATCTCCCAATGGAGGTGCTAAGAATTGACATATAATCATCAACAAAGCAACCAAAGAAGAATTTGGTTATGCAATAATACATATCAAGAAACTTGGTCATGCAATAATACCTATCACGGCATAAAATCTGGTTTCAGTTTGATTTAGCTAGGTTGTTTCGATTCCATTAAGAAAAATCAATTCTCTTCTCTCAGACGCAAACGTAAACGATAGCACTAGATGAAAACACAAAATAAATCGCAAAAACGCCACGCATTGCACTAAAAAAGAAACGCTAAAGAAAAGAACTTTCTTCTTCAACCATCATCCACTTTCATAAAATTAAAATGTGATTTGATTTGGACAAGGCCACTAAACCCACAAATAAGTGGATACCACTTGAAAACAATTGAAGAACTAACATTGCTTTTTTTGTTCAACTTATAGGATACTTTCTCTTATAATCATCCAATTTGCATCTAAAATAGTTGTTGATTAACCATGGTTTATAACTATCTCCTTCCGTCTGCTTTCGTTCACATCCTCCAAACAACACCTTCGATAAAACAAAGAAAGTAAAAAAAAGTTAAATATACAAAGATAACAGAAGAGTGTAACAATGAAATCACCTCCAAAATGTAAAGAAATCACCTCCAAAATGTATTCAGCCAACCGTAGATTGAACATTCTACTTTTGTCCCCTTTTTTATGCATCTCTGTAAGCACATCTTCTACACCTCTAACCTACACTCACAAAATTCGATATTGTGAGTTCATTATATATATAAAGATAAGTAAACAAGACACAAATGTATAATAGTGATGATAAATCATTTAAAAAGCAACCAATTGAGGCTTTCATGCACATACCAGATTAAACCCATAGTTCTTCTCAATGGTACGAAAAAGGTAAACCGCATCGTTTGATGGTACTTTTAGACCCACTTCATACATGTGTTGCAGTATGTATAGACCAATTTCCTCCTGTAATAACATATATGAAAACCGGCTAAAGAAACAAAAACTAAGTTCCACCTAAAGTTAAAAAAAAACAAGTAGGTTGAAAAGAAAAAGATTACCTTTCGTGAATCGCAACTATATTTGATAAGCTTCTCATATGATGCGGTTGAAGGAGAAATTTTCAGCTCTTTAAGCAACTCTTTGAACTTGAAAAACGCACCACCAACCTTATAGTTGCCAAGAAAATGATTTAGAGATGGCAAAATTTTGTTAGGAAGTTGCTCTTCTTGACTTCGATGTATACTTACCGACAGGTTAGGAATGCTGGTTACGTAGCTAAAGATCAGCTCAGAAACGTCATGCTCTCTATAATCAGAAAGACCTGGATATGTCAATGAAACAAAGTTACAATGGTAACAATAATTACAAAGTATAAAAATGTGCATTAGATATTAATTAAAAACGTTATTTTGTGTGCCTTAGCTTATACCATTCTTGTTCAGTTCACGGAGGAGCTTCTTTGCAACAGATTCTGATAGCGACCTTCCAAGGTGTTCGAAAATGCTTGTCCAAAGGCGAAAAGACTCGACTCTGGTTATGTCTAGAGTTTCTAATATCCTCAAAACCTCCTTATGCTGGTCTTTCTCACAAAGTGCAAGCAGATAATGTTTCGTTAATTTTGGACATTGTTTATTGCAAAGTTCCATTCGATGGATTTCCCAGCCGCGACGGATAACAGGTGGCTTGGAACAATTTTTTTCTACCGCAATTTTTTCTTTGAACGTTTTGATAATCATAGAACAAACTTCTTTGATCTTTTCTTCGTCTTTGAGCTTGATCCAAAGAAGCATTTTATAGTAACCTAATCTCGCTAACTTTTCCCGTAACCAATAATGATCACTATCATCCCTCATTGCTTCAACAAGCATATGGAATTCTTCTACCATTTTCTTATCAATTAAGAAGTGAAGAAGAGGACCATAGACTTTTTCATTTCCATTGATATGTGATCCTTTCATGGCTGCAATAATTTCGAAAGCCTTTGCGATCTGATCAGTGACATACTCTTCATTATTGCTCCTCTGAGCATTTTCTATGTTAAGTAGAACCGCGGCTTGACATTCATCTTCTAGTTCGAATCCTGATGACTCAAGTCTAGATATTGCTGAAGTTTCAGCACCATTATCCAGAGCAGATCGTAGTTTCGCAGACCAACTTGTTTTAGACGCATATTGAGGCAATTTTTGTTGTGAAATTTCACTGGAATTATCTACTAGGGTTATAGAAATCACCGAAACAATTGTGACAAAAGAATCAGTAATACATTTGATAAAGTTACTGTTAAAAAATTAGGGCTACCTAGGAGTACCTGGTTCAGAAATAGCTGCTGTGTTGAGAGCCCTGACGTTTCTTGCGGCAAAAGCGGCTGTGTTGGAGGGTTTTCCGGTAGATCTGACGGCGAGGCGAACGAATGTGGTGATGAAGCTTTTTGACATTTTCGAAATCTTAATGGAAAATCGATGTGTGGAAAAGAAACAAAAAAAAAAAACTTTAGGGTTTGGTTTATGAAATTCGATATCCGTGGAAAACTTTACATTGACTTGTGCGGCAAGGCCCATTCCTAGATATGTCGGCCCATTTATTCGATATCCGTGGAAAACTTTAGGTTTCTAAAAGTAAAAACCTAAACTAAAACCATATCCATGAAAATGTCATTTGGCCCAACGGTGAAGGATTTAAAGGTTTCTACACTAATTGTACAGTTTGAGTCCGGGATAGACATTTTTTACAGATTATTGAAGAAAATTTATCAGAAATTTTAAAATGATGCAAGAAGAACCGTTCGTCGTGGTCTCAAGTGTGTTTTGCTTTTATCAAAAAAAAAAAAGATTTTAAAAATTCTCACAAATAAAACCAAAAAAGTCAAAAAAGTTCTAAGAAAATTTAGCCCGTCACTTGAATAGATATGTCTTCGAAAATGTGTATCATGACAATGTTAGATTTTTGTCGTTTCCAAATGAAGCCGTGCCATGTATCCCATGTGCACTACACAAGATACCATATACGATGAATCTTGGCATTGTTATGAACTAAAATAACATGATTACCAAAAGGAAGTAACCTTGATCTTTATATTCACCATCGTGATTCGACCTTGTAATCTGAGAACTTGCTGATGAACTTGTTTAGTTGAAACTTTTTCGACCCCATATCATTGATCACACCTTCTGTAGTACTTAGCTGCGAAAGACATAAAAACTAAGAACACAAACATCTATTGTTTTGGACAGAGAATATGCACATTGCACTATAACCAAATTCTATCTTCTAATTTCAAAAACATTGGATGGCACATAGTATATAAGTTGGATGTTTAGATAACATGTGGAAATACTTACTACATTAACAGTATTACTACTACATATTTGTTTTGCCAGTTTTGATAGAAACTTTGGTTTATCTAACAAATAAACTGTTGTCAATAATGTATGAGTATGATCTGGTGATTTAGGCATTAAGATAATAGTTAAGAAACAAAAAAACATACCCAATCAATCCCATAAATCCTCTCAATGGTGTCGTGAAAATAACGCCCGTCCTCCGAGTCTTCTATCAAACCATTTTCCCTCATTTCATCTACTATTTTTGCTGCAAGTGGTATCTAAAATATACAAAAGTGTTACCAATCAAACATCAACGTGATTCAAGGAAAGACCTTATCAAAGTTGCTAGTTCAAATTGGTTTTATTTGAATTCCTTTCAATGTCCATTCCTAAAGAAAACAAATTATATTATATACCTTACGATGATCATGTTGTGAGTAATGATGATCATCTTGTGAGTCACATTCAAATGCGATCAGCTTCTCAAAAAATTCAAAGGAAGGTTTAAACCCGACCTCTGTATGCAGGACCCTACACATCTCAAATGCGTTGGCCTTCCCAGGTATATCCTGATTCGAATTAAACAAAGTGAGGAAAGCCACTAATGAGTTTCAAGACAAATAACAGAACCTCAAATCTTCTTATTTCAATTTCACAAAACCGACCATATATAGTCACATTTTCTCGTTTCAATCATGCCCAACAATGTTTTTAGGTCGATGGAAACAAAAGTATTATCCCTAAACAAGTCATGGTGTACCAAATGACTAGATAGAAACTCTTTGGCTTGAGAATTTTTCATGAACCAAAAAAAAAAAAAGTAAAAGTTTTTGAATCTCATTCTTTCACATAAGAACTAGTAAAACCTGAATCCAAGAATACCTCACCGTACCTCGTTCTCGTGGACGCTGCTAGTTGCGTAGCTAAAAATGAGGTGTGGAATATGTTCAGCCCATGCTGCAAATAATTCAAAGTTTAAATTTTGAAAATGTTATAGTTTGATAAATGTAATAAAGATTAGTGTATAAATAACACAACTTACCAGTCCCTTTCAGTTCCCCAAGTAACCTCTTAGCATCAATCATCAAATCCAACCGTCCAAGATATTCAAATATCGGTGTCAATTGGTCCAACGAAGTAGCTTTAGTTATGTCAACAGTCTTTAACAGTCTTTGAAGATACTCATATTGACATGTCACACAAAATGCTTCCAGATAATTCACTGCATATTCATCCAAAGAAATTAAGTGTTACATCTTTTTTTCTTAACAAGTTTTCGACACATTAATTCCGTACCTTCCAAGCTCGATAGCCTGTCCCATCTGTCGATGATTCTTCGACCAATCTCCTCAATCTTTTCTTCGTCGTCGATCTTAATCCATGAAAGCATTTCATAGTAACCAAGTCCCGACGAAGAATCAGGAAACGCCTCCTTGATTTTTCTAATAAGAAACTGAAACTCCTCTTTGCTATGCTCATTAATTAACTCACAAAGATCAGAACTATACATTTCTTCTTCTATTGAGAGACCTTGCTTCTTCATAAATTCGAAAACACTCATGAGTTTTTCTCGACCTTCACTAGAGAGAACGGATTTTTCATCTATTGTCGGTATAATTCTGAATGATGATCTCCTATTGGGGTTGGGGGATATGGACTCTTCTATGTTATCTTTTGCGACTGTTTTACAACTTTCTACGCTCACTATTACTCCCAATCTTCGAAGAGTTTCAATATCTTGATTCCACGTTTCGATTTCGATTTTTGGTTCCTCTGCAGTGGAACCAAAACCTATTAAAATAATTAGACCCCAAAAAAAAACCAAAATGACGTTTCTTAGCAAACCCTAATTTCTTCTGATTCAAGATGGAACGAAATATGAAGATACCTGGTTCGAAGTTTGAATAAGTGTGAAGACACCGGGGAATCTCAGCCGATCTGTAAGAAATTGCGGCGTGATTCGCGGCGGCAGAGGCTGAGTTTTGACGATATTTAAACGCGAAACCAAGGAGGTTGCTTAGGCTTTTAGCTTTTGATGCTGACATTTTTGGAATCGGTAACATTTGTTGAGACGAAGAAGTGAAGAGGAAAAGAGAAGTTAGACTCAATCAGAGAGAGATAGAAGGAAGAGAAGAAAACTTGATGAACAAGGAAATTTTGTGACGGAATAAAAATGCCTAGGGTTTTAGGAATACATTTTTTTCTTTTTTTTGTTATAAAAGGGTTTTAAAACCCTAAGAAAAAAAAACGCAAATTAAAAATGGCAGACAACTCGGCCGCCTGTGTAATCAAAGGAGAAGTAGATTCAATCAGCTCTTTACCTGATGTGATCCTTCAACATATCCTCTTCTCTTTTGAGACGAAATTCGCCATCCGAACTTCCGTCTTGTCAAAACGATGGAGGCATGTATGGTGCAACATACCTTCTCTCTCCTTTGATAATATTAAGGAAGCTGATGCCATAAACAAAGCCCTAGCTAAATACACAGCTCCAAAGATGATGGATTTTCATCTCAAAATCAACAAGAATAACAATGTTCACCACATCAAGAAGTGGATCGAATTTGCCATGTCCCGCAACGTAGAGAATATGTCCCTTGATGTCCTTTTTCGTTGTAAAAATATTCCTCGTTTCTCCGACATCAATTCCTATTTCAAGCCACTCAACCATAAGTTAGATTTTTCTGATGTGATTCCCGGACACGGTGTGTCTTGGACATCCCTGAAGAAGTTGTCCTTGCGGTATTGTGGTTTACCTGATGCTAAAATTTTATCTGGTTGTCCGATTCTCGAATGTTTAACATTGTATCACTGCGGAAAACTTAATGTTCTTGATCTCAGCAAATCGCTGCGCTTGAGAACATTAGAAATAAACAGCCACATTATGATTCCAGGGCCAACGCAGATTGTGGCGCCACATATCCATTGTCTCAAATTGAGAAACACTCAATTACCATGTACTCTAGTTGATGTCTCGTCCTTAACCGAAGCTGAAGTATTGGACATTATCATTTTCCCATTGAACATGTCCTTGAAGGCTGATTTTCTTTATGCCACGATGCTAGAGATGCTAAAAAAGTTAGAGAATGTAGAGAAGCTTACTTTTAGTGGAGGCTCTCTTCAGGTATGTTTTAGGTTCATTAATTCTTGCATTCTCTAATGCCTACAACTCTTTTACTAATTTTACTCATATTGGTTGCAAATTCAACTTTTGCTCATGTATTAATTTTCATTAGGCCATATAAGTTTAGGACCGTTTATATATTAATCAATATGTGTTTTGGTATTCACGGTCTTGTTGTGTTTTTTTGTTAGAATTTATCATCTATTGCGGAGAAACGTGGTGTTCCTTTTCCCATGTTCAAGGTCAAAGCTTTGACTCTTGAGATGGAACACTTTGTGATTTCAGATATAGAAAGAATGTTACAAAACTCACCAAATTTAAAGAAGCTAACAGTACGCGAAAAGGTTAACACCAGACAGGTATATTTACAGTAACCTTCTATTATTTTCATTGGCTCCTCTTCTATCTATTATCGAGTTTTGAGTAATCCAAGAACCATGTATTTTTCTTTATGTTGAGCAGGGGAAGTATCTTGACAGACACTTTACAAGGCTTGAATCTGGATCAATGCTCGAGATCAAAAAAGGTGTCTAATAGAACATGTCGCTGGAATGTAGAGTCAAAGCAAAAAGACATTGTAGTTTCAAGGCAAATGACAGAATCCTACATTTTTCTCTTTTTAATGTCACAAAATCGACAATAGCCACATTTGATCATTTCAAATTTTCAATCAACACTCTAGTAATACTTTTTTGGTTCATGGAGAAAAAAAGTATTATCCTTAAACAAGTTATGAGTAAGCATGACCAAAAGCTAACCGTAACCGTATTTCGGACCGTAACCGGACCGTTTCTCAACCGTCACCGAACCGTAACCGTACAAAACAGTTAATAACCGTAACCGTTAACCGTAAAAACAGATTAGTTACGGTTAAAAAATATACTAACCGTAACCGTTAATTAACCGTAAACGTATCAAAATCGTTAGTTAACCGTGCAGTTAAAACCTAAAATACATAATTATTTCACTAAAACAGTGCCTTAAATGGTTAAATGCGCTCATTACTAAATTTAAACCACTCCACTCGTCCACTACTCATTTTCCATAAATCAAATCATAAATAATTTACAAGTTATTATTTCTAGTCCTGAAATCGTTTCTTAATTCTCATAACATCCTTTCTATATCTCATAACATCCTTTCTATAGTATTGTTTGGAATACGTATTGTCAATAAAACAATTACTCAATCATAGGGGTGTCAAGTTGGTTAAACCAAACCAAACCAACCCATATCCATATTGATTTAGAGTTTAATGGTTAATGAATCAATCCAATTCATTTAGCAAATGGTTTGGATTAATCCATAACTCATTTAAATGAGTGGATTAATGGATTTAATGAGTTGATCCATAACATAGTTTTCTTATAATTTAAATCCTAATTAATTGATAATTAGTAACTATCATGTTACCACCACCATCATCATCATCAATCCATCATCATCTTCATCACTCCATCGTCATCAATTCACCACCACCATCATCATCACCATCACCATCACCATCATCGTCATCGTCGTCGTCGTCGCCGTCGTCATCGTCGTCGTCGTCGCCGGCGTCGCCGCCATCGTCGTCGTCGCCCCCATCGTCGTCGTCGCCCCCATCGTCGCCGTCGTCGTCGTCGCCGCCATCGTCGTCGTCGCCCCATCGTCGCCGTCGCCGTCGTCGTCGTCGCCGTCGTCGTCGTCGTCGTCGCCGTCGTCGTCGTCGTCGTCGAAATACTTGTAACTATGAATTGGTTCATAAATTGATCACAAAACGACGACCAAGGACTCCATGAGTGACGATGAGGGATCCGAGTGTCAGTGGCTTTGCCGGTGAACGGCGTTGTTGGCTTCGTCGTTTGCCGGTGAAACCATAAGATTGAGAGGGATCGACAGTGAGAGATTTGACGCCGAGAAAGATCGATGGTTAAGCGGTTTAAGAAAATTATGTTTATTTCGGTTTACTAAAATCGGTTTAGTGATTCAATTCCGTTATATTTGGTTTACATATTTGATTTCAATTATATAATTTTTATTGGTTTGGTTATGGATAACCCAGTAATCCATTTTAAACCAAACCATTTCAATCCAACTCATTAAACTCATTAAACCATTTAATCCATTAATCCATTAATATCCAAATTTTCAACTCATTAGATCCATGAGTTGGATTGGTTTGGATTGATCCATCAATTTTAAACCATTTTGACACCCCTACTCAATCATTAGAATTATTACCACTGATTTAGTTATTCGTTGTTTTACTTAACAAAACAAAATAGCTAATTAACTATAAATATTAAAATACATAATCACATATATTACATATTGTAAAATAAATATTATTTGATATATCATTATTGAAATTTTTATTCTAAAGGTTAAAAATACCTAAGTTTTTGTCTTTGATATTAACCGTATCGTAATAATTAAATAACTGTAACCGTATTTAACCGTAACCGTTGTAACCGTAACCGTATTTAACCGTAACCGTTTTAACCGTATATATAACGGTTAAGATTACGGTTAGAGAAATTTTATAACCGTAACCGGGGGTTAATAAACCGTAACCGCAATAAACGTAACCGTGGTCATGCCTAGTTATGAGGTAACAAAAGATTAGATATAAGAACTCTTCCGTTTGATTGTTTCTTAATTAAACACTAGATTTTAACCCGCGGTACACCGCGGGATGATTTAATTTTAAAGTTAGTATAAAAATATTTTGTAAATTGTATCTCCTTATAACATATTTATTTGTATTATAGTTTACAATTGTTATTAAGTAACGGTATACCACGAGTCCACGAGATAATTATTAATAAACTGAGGATTTAACCCGTATTAAAGCGGTATATAAATATTGATTCAAATTCGTCCGCCATATAAATCATTTCCGAAATATAACCCGTTCCGTAATTTCTTAACCCGTCCTGTGATTTGTATTAAAAAAAAAAAGGATTAAATCCGTATTGAAGCGGCGGATTAATGATATTTTAATCTTTTTATTATTGTTGATTCAAAAACCCGTCCCGCCAAACCCATCCCGCCAAAAAACTCATTTATTTTATTAATGTTCTTATTTATGATATGATTATGAATCATTGTCTAAATATTTTAATCGATGTAGAACGTTGAACACACATTTTCGTCAATTGGATAATATATGTCCGTTTTTAAAATTTCGAATCACAGTATATGCAGAAAAAAAATTGATTTTTTTTTTACTTTATGTATTATATGATGATTCAAAACAGCTAAAAACAAATCAAACAAAGATGATAGGAGAATTATAATTATAAATCTTAATCAAATCTTCTAAAAATCTAAATTATTAAATATGGAATATCCGGTGTATGAGTTGGGTTAAATATAACCCGATCCAACAAAATTTTTGTGAAGGAATTTTTAAAATGGGTCGGGTATCCGATATACCCGAAAGCTTTTTTACCCACCCGTCACAAAAAGTGCTGCGATTATACTAGTATAGATGCTCGACCAGCGATATGCCTGTATCCTAAACAATTTCCTCGACAAGTTCAAGCTATTGAGCAATCAAAACCTGAATCCAAGACTCACCATGTCGTACTTGATGCTAGTTGCATACGTAGAAATGAGCTGTGAAATATGCTTAGGCGTCCATGTACAACCGCACTTTATTTCGTATGAAAACAATATTTCTCCGGAGGCTTGTTTGAGTCACCCAAGTAATATTAAGTTGTAAACAAAAAATATATATGCTCAGGCGTATTAAAGAGAAGATAACGTGATTTTGTATAACGAAATCCTAGGGTTTTTGGAAATATAGTTACAGGAAAAAATCATTTTTTGTTATATTTTTTGTTATAAAAACTAGTTTAAGAATTACAAAAAGATTGAAAACCCTAAGAAAATCGAAAATTAAAAATGGCAGACAGCTCAACTGATGATGTAGGAGTCCCTAGCCACCGTCGTCGCCACCATCAGAAAATCAAAGCAGCTGATTTAATCAGCTCTTTACCTGATGAGATCCTCCTACATATCCTCTTCTTTACTCCGACCAAATTCGCCATCAGAACTTCCCTTTTGTCAAAACGATGGAGGCATGTATGGTGTGAGACACCTTCTCTTTCTTTTGATAATTGTACACAGAAGCCTACTTTCATAAACAAAACCCTAAAACGCTACACAGCTACCAAGATGATAAAATTTCATCTCAAAACCGACATAAAGAAGAATGTTCGTTACATCAACAAGTGGATCGAATTAGCCATGTCCCGCAACGCGGAGAATATGTCCTTGGATTTCTATTTTAGTAGTAGTGAGTATAAGATTGCTGATAGCTTTTACATCTATTCTTCTGTTAAGCAACTTAGCCTTCAGTTAAACTATTCTGATATGATTCCCCGATGGTTGGTGTCTTGGACATCCTTGAAAAAGTTGTTGTTGCATTGTTGTTGTCTCCCTGAGGAATCCTTTGCCAACATTGTATCTGGTTGTCCGGTTCTGGAAAGTTTAATATTGTATTACTGCAAACAAATTAGGGTTCTTGATCTAAGCAAAGCGTTGCGGCTGAGGACATTAGAAATAAAGCCCCACATTTCAAATCTAGTGCAAATGCATATTGTGGCACCACAGATCCATCGTCTTAGCTTGAGAAATTCGCAGATGCCATTTACTTTAGTGGATGTCTCATCTTTAAAGGAAGCTAAAGTGGACATTTGCTTTGTCTCCATCCACTGGACCTACAAACATAGTTTTCTTCATGTCATGCATACGTTACCAAAGATGCTAGAAAAGTTACAGAATGTAGAGAATCTTACTCTTGGGGGGAACTTTCTTCGCGTATGTTTTCGGCTCATTCTTGCATTCTTTGATATTATACTTATTTTTACTCATGTTGGTTACAGATTTAATGTGTACTGATGGATTATTTTTTGTTGGCTATATAAGTATAGAAATGTTTATATCTGATCAATATCTTTTTGTTCTTGTTAGATTTTATCTCTTGCTGAGATTTGTGGTGTTCCTTTTCCGATGTTAAAGGTGAGAACTTTGACTCTTGAGACAGTAATCTTTCAGTATGTTATTCCCGGTATAGAAAGATTGTTACAAAACTCACCTGAGTTAAAGAAGCTAATAGTACGGCCGTCAAGGGATTGCAACACCATACCGGTAAATTTACCATAACTTTCTTTCGATCTCCTTGGTCTTCCTTTTAAATACCATCAAATAATTCAAAAACCATGTTTTTTTCTTCTTTTCTTTCGGTTGAGTAGGAGAAGTATCTTGACCAATATTTGAAGTCGCAAGGCTTTAATCCGGATCAATGTTGGAGATCAAAAGATGAGGTCTTTTGGAACAGATATCTGCCGTTGGAGTGTAGAGTCAATACACGTGACTTCATTGGTAGAACTTATGCTTAAAAACACAAAGACATTGAACAAGATGGTCGTACAGTTGAACGAACTGATATGAGTAAGTGATTTCCAATGCATTCATGTGTTCGTGTATACCTTTCTATATCGATTTTCAAACCGATTCTAGCTATAGTTTTAAACATTCTTTCGTCGATTTTGGAACAATTTGATTGCAGATATATACTCTAGAAGTACTACGTTACGATCTCAAAACGATTGTAAGTCTATAAAAATCGTAAATAATGGTACGACGTTATCTAAACATTATGGTTTTTAGCTAAGACAGATCCTATATAGAAATTTATGTATTTCTTTAAATTCATGCGTATTTAAGAGTTTCATAAATATACCATAAATTGTTCTTCATTTTCCATATTCTTAAAACAAAGACAGTAATTTCTGTCAAAGTTATATGTATATACTTATTGGGTGATCAATTAATAATCTTGATAACCAAGTCGCAGCCCCCAAAAGAGAAGAAACAACATGCTATATTTTTGGGTATCTCTAAGGTGGGTGCGAGTCGAGTAACGGATTGAGGATGTCTAACAGTACCAGTGCTAAGCCTTAAAGAGAACACTTCTAAATTCTTGGTCAAACGCAAACACCTTCACCAATACAAACGCATAATAAACACAAACGAGATTGTATTTGAAAACTAATGAAAAAAGAGCTTATTTCCTCATTTGGAAATCAAGACATCTGGCTACGACCCAGAAACAGAGTTAGCAGAGTCATCATCCCCGCAATAATACTCCTCCTCCTCATAGTCATAACCATAATCACCATAATCTTCTCTCTCAATTGTACAAGGAGAACGGTTCTCATAATCTTCCAGTGTGAAACTATAATAGTTGTTCTTTAACCATGGTTTATAATGACCTCCTTCCTTATGCTTTGGTTCACATCTTCCAAACAATACCTTCCAAAAACAAAACAAAAGTTTAAAAACTATACAAAAATGTAACACATGGAAACACAAAGGTCAATCTTTTTGTTTCAAAAAAGACAAAAAGAAATCACCTCCCAAATGTATATAGCTAACCGAAGATTGAACATTCTACTTTCGTCCTTTTCTTTACTCATCCTTCTAAGCACATTTTGTACAGCTCTAAGCTGCACACACACGTAAAATTAATACAATTTCAACGCGTTGAACTATACAACATTTAGATACAAGTAAACAAGGTATAATAAATAATTTTGAAAGGGCAATATACTGAGTCTTCACATACCATATCAAACTCATAGTTCTTCTCAATGGTACGAAAAAGGTAAATGGCAGTGTCTGATGATACTTCTAGACCAACTTCATACATGTGTTCCAATATCCATAAACCGGTTTCCTCCTATAATAACATATTAAACGATTGAAGAAAGCTTCACTGAAAACATCTAGCAAGAATCAAAATTACCTCTCGTGAGTCGCAACTATATTTGATAAGCTTCTGATATGACGCGGATGAAGGGGAAACTTTAAGCTCTTCGAGTAACTCGTTGAACTTGATAACGGCACTACCAACCTTAAAATTATGCCAAGCAAAACATTAGAGATGGCATATTTTGTTTCCTTGACCAGAAACAATTTAAGCAAAAATAAGGATTTTTCTACTTACTTACCCACATGTTAGGAATGCTGGTTACGTAGCTAAAGATCAGCTCAGAGACTTTCTTACTTCTAAACCAGAAAATCCCTACAAATACAAACTTAATTTTAAAAGTTAGAATGCTAACAGAGAGTGTAATAGATATCAAGTTAACTGGTCTTATGTCTCTCTGCGTACCTTTCTTGTTCAATTCACGGAGAAGCTTCTTCGCGACAAATTCTGATATCGACCTTCCAAGGTACTCGAAAATGCTTGTCAAAATCTTGAAAGAACAGACTCTTGTGTCTAGAGTCTCTAATATCATCAAAACCTCCTTATGCTGGTCTTTCTCACAAAGTGAAAGCAGATACATTTCTGTTAATCGACATCGGTTAAAGCTACAATACTCTTCATATTTTTTGATAATCATAGAACAAACTTCGTTGATCTTTTCTTCGTCTTTGAGTTGGATCCAAAGAAGCATTTCATAGTAACCAAGTCTCACAAATTCTGGAGAAGAATTAGAAATCCTTTGACCATACCTAATCATATCGAAAGTCATATAGAATTCTTCTACCATTTTCATATCTATCAAGAACTTTAGAAGAGGACCATAAATTCTTTCTTCTACACAGAAACCTACTCTTTCCATGGCTACCATAAGCTCGAAAGCTTTTGCCATCTGTTCAATAGCATTCTCTTCATTGTTGCTACTCTTGGCATTTTGTATGTTAAGTAGAATCGCTGTTTCACATTTTTCTAAAAGATCTACGAATCCTAATGACTCAAGGGTATATAACGCTTGACTAGAAGTTTCAGCACCAGTTTCGAGAGCAGATCGTAGACTCGCATATGCGCTCGTTTTCAAAGCATAATCAGGCGATTTTTGTTGTGAAATTTCACTGAAAGTATCTACAGAGCTCACAACAAGAGAATCAGTATTATATTCAAAAGAATAGAAGGTCGATCGATGAATGATTCCATGTTTCAATTGAAATGTTTCGATCTTGGAATTTTAGGAAGGAAAATAGGGTTTATGAGTACCTATTTCAGAATTGGCTCGAGTGTTAAGGGCCCTAACAATCGAAACCCTAACGTTTCTTGTGGCTGTGTTGGAGGCTTTTCCGGTAGATCTCACGGCGAGGTTGACGAATGTGGTGATGAGGCTTCTCGGCATTTCTTGAAAGAAATTCGAACTCCTAAGCGTAGCCGAGGATTGAGTTGATGAAGGAAAAAAAACATTAGGGTTTCTAGATTATTGAAACTATTTATGAATTACTTGCGGGGCAAGGCCATTTTCCTCACTTGTAGGCCCATTTATAAAATAAAATAGACTTCTTAAAAATTAACAACATAAAATAAAAGTCAAAACCCCTTTAAAAATTGTAACCTTACTCGTCAATTAAATTAACACTTTTAAGATGAGAAAAAAAGAATTAAAAACTGAATCAGAAATGAGAAATGTGTAATAATAAATATGAGAGCTGAACATAAACATCCAAACGTCTATGATGTATCTGTCTTTAAATGTAGTCGGGCATAAAAGGATGTAACATTGATCTTGATCTTGATCTTCGTCTTGTTCTAACAATGTACTCATGGAACATGTCGAGGAACTTGTCTAGTTTAAACTGTCCCGACCCCATATCACTGATCACGGCTCCTGTAGTTCCCAGCTGACAAAGACAGAAAGATTAAGGACACAAACAATATGCAAAAGCAACGAATGGTAAAATCATAAATAAGTTGCTTCACTTATGACAGTACTTTATATGATATAACTTACGATTTAGCAAATGTAACTCTTTTCAATACTGTCTATGAGCTGGTGATTTAGGCATTGAAATAATAATAATAATAATAGTAATAACATACCCAATCAGCTCCATAAATCCTCTCAATCGTGTTGTAAAAATATTCCCCCTTCGCAGTATCTTCTACCAAACCATATAGACTCATTTCACTAACTATTTTTGCTGCAGATGGTACCTATAATAAATACCATACAAAAGTGTTACCAATCAAACATAACAACAACCAAAGTGAAACACATGGAAAAAAAAAGTCCGATCAAATTTGCTAGCTCTTTAGTTCCTTACAATTTCCATTGCTAAAGAGTAAAGACATAAAAAGATATACCTTAGAATAGTTTTCTGAGTAACACTCAAATGCGATAAGCTTCTCGAAAAATTCCAATGAAGGCTTAATACTTAACTCACCGTGAAGCATTTTACATGTCTCAATGGCATCATCCCGGCCATGTTCTTCCTGATTCGAATCAAACCAAATCAGGAAAGCCACTAATTAGTTTTAAGCCAAACCAATTTTTCTCATTTCAATATCACACTATCAACAATACTCACATTTGCTAGTAATGTTTTGGTTCGATATATGGAGACAAAAGTGTTATCCCTAAACAACTCAATACTCATGAGGTAACAACAGATAAGGGAAGAACTCTTTGGTTTTTAATTAGGTTTAATATTCTCGACGACAAGCCATGCCTGAATTAATCCTAAACATGTTCCACGATAAGTTCGAGCTATTGAGCAATCAAAACCTGAATGCAAGAATAACTCACCCAGACATACTCGATGCTAGTTGCGTACCAAAAAATGAGGAGTGAAATATGCTCAGGGCTTACTGCAATAGATTGCAAAATAATGAAATTCAGACTTTGAAAATTGAAATAATTCTATTGATGTAACAAAAGATTAGTGTAATCTCATAGTTAAATAAATAAGACCACTTACAAGTCGATTTCAGCTTCCCAAGCAACCTGATAGCTTCAACCAATGATTCCGACCGTCCAAGATATTCAAAAATTGGTGCCAATTCTTCCAATGAAGAAGCTTTGGTTATATCTACAGTTTCTAACAACGTCTTAAGAAACTCATCCTCATTTCCAACACAAAGTGCTTCCAGATAATGAACTGCATATTTGATCACAAGAGTTCAGAGAGTATCAAGAGATATATATTTATTTTAAAACAAATTTCCGCGCCTTACCTTCCAAGCTCGATAGCTCGCCCCATCTATCGATGATTCCACAACCAATCTCCTCGATCTTTTGTACATCATCAAGCTCAATCCAAAAAAGCATTTCATAGTAACCAAGTACAGGTAGTGAACCAGGAATCTCTTCTTTGAGTATTCTGATGAGAAAATTGAACTTCTTTTCCAATTTTTCATCAATTAAGTAACAAAGACAAGAACTATACATTCCTTCTTCTAAGGAGAGACCTTCTTCTTTTAGAAATTTGAAAGCACTCATGATTTGTGCTCGACCTCCACCACATCGAATGGAAATATCTATCTTCTTTGTAACGAATGCTTTACAATTTTCTTCACTAAATTCTACTCCCAATTTACGAAGAGTCACTAACGCTTGATTCTGCGTTGTATGGCTTCCATAGGTCGAATCTAATACATTAATGGACAAATATAATGACATTTCCATCAAAACCTAATTACTTCTATTTCAAGATTTGAAACGAAATTTGAGGGCGGAGATAAGGATAAATATATACCTGGTCTGAAGATTGCCGGAGTATGAAGAGATCGGAAAATCTCAGCCGTTCTTAGAGATTTTCCGGCGGTTGTGCGATATTTTGAAGCGAAGCAGAAGAGCGTGCTCAGAGTTTTATATTTTGATGCCGCCATTTTTATTCTAAGCAGTGCAGAGTGAGAAGAAGAAGTGTCAAGTGAAGAACAAAGGAGACGAAAAGAAAACGTGGTGAACAAGGAAATATTGTGACGGAAGAAAAAAAAAAGCCTAGGGTTTAGGGAAACCCTGTTAGAGGAAAACCTAGAAAATACTTTTTTTGTTTTTGTTAAAATATGAAACGTTTTTTAAAACCCTAAAACCTGTTTCACCGAAAAAGATGGTGAACCGCTACAATCCTCGCCGTCGTTTGCGTCGCCGCCTCCATGAAAAGAAGAGAGCAAAAGACTTAATCAGCTCTTTACCTGATGAGATCCTCCTACATATCCTCTCCTTTACTCCGACCAAATTCGCCATCAGAACTTCCATTTTGTCAAAACGATGGAGGTATATATGGTACGATACACCTACTCTCTCCTTTAGAAATTGTAGACAACGACCTGCTTCGATTGACAAAACCCAAATGTGCTACAAAGCTCCCAAGATGAAGTATTTTCGTCTCAAAAACAACTTGAAGAACAATAATTACTACATCAAGAAGTGGATCACATTCGCCATGTCGCGTAAAAATCTCTCCCTTGAAGTTCATGGTACTGGTTTTGAAATTCCTGCTTCCTTCTTCATCAATTCCTCTATCAAGCAACTCAACATTGAGTTAGCCTCTATTTCTAGTCAATGCTTGGTATCTTGGCCATCATTGAAGAAGTTGTCATTGCGGTTGTGTCGTTTCCGTTATGGATCTATTGCTAAGCTTTTATCTGGTTGCCCGATTCTTGAATGTTTGACATTGTATAGTTGCAAAGATATTAAGGTTCTTGATCTCAGCAAATTGTTGCACTTGAGAACATTAGAAATAAACAGCCACATTAAGTTTCTAGGGCCAACGCAGATTGTTGCACCACATATCCATTGTCTTAGATTGATAGCCTCTCAATTACCATGTACTTTAGTTGATATATCGTCTTTAACCGAAGCGAAAGTGGACATTTGCATTAAATCAAGAGATGGGATCTTCAAGGCTGATTTTCCTCAACTTCAAGCCATGGTGCTAGAGATGCTGGAAAAACTACAGAATGTAGAGAAGCTAACTTTTGGTGGAAACTTTCTTCAGGTATGTTTTGGGCTCAATCTTAATCTTACATTCTCTAATTATTTCACTCATGTTGGTTGCAAGGTAACCGTCTGATGTACTAGTTTTCATTATCTTTTTGTGTTTGGCTATTCACTATCTCTGTGCTTTCTATTAGATTTTATCTCTTGCTGAGGTTCGTGGTGTTCCTTTTCCGATGTTAAAGGTCAAAACTTTGATTCTTGAAACGGTAATCTTTCAGTATGTTATTCCTGGTATAGAAAGATTGTTACAAAACTCATTTGAATTAAAGAAGCTAATGGTACGAGCAAGGGATTGCAACACCATACCGCTAATTACATTTATCGTAACCTTCTCTTGTTTTCCTTGCTCTCCCTTTTAACTATCATCGAGTTGGACTAATCCATGAACCATGGTTTTTTTTTCTTTCTGTTGAGCAGGGGAGTTACTTGACAAATTACTTGGACTCACAAGGCTTGGATCCAAACATATGTTGGAGATCGGAAGATGGGAAGGTCATTTTGAACAAATCCCATCGGAATATAGAGACAAAGCATGTGACTTCATTTATAGAATTTATGCTTAAAAACACAAAGAGCTTAGACAAGATGGTCGTACAGTTGGACGAACGTTACATTAGTTTTAGGTTTAAAGACTTGGTTCCAACACTTCCTCCCAACAATAATGTCTCCATTGCGCTCTCAACCAAGCCGATGATATTAGGTGAGTGGTGAATAATGCCGCAGATAAATACGAATATGATCTTTGGATATCAATGGATTCTCAAAGACAACTCGTAGCTCGGAGATCTCAGCTTTGTGTATCAATGGATCACGAAACAGAGATATCAAAGACTTCTTTGAGAAAAGCTTTCTCTTTATTAATATTCAAAAACAACCAGTTCTCTCCTTACAAATAAGAGGAGTATTTATAAGATTCAAAGAAACGTAAAAACCCTAGTCGGAGCTTGACGTCCAAGCAAAACCTTAAACCGACTTAATTATAAATCCCATAACAAATAATAAAGCCCAACAAGAATAAAAAATAAAGATAGAGTAAGGCTTGATAAGAGAACAGAAAGATGTCGCTACATCAGGTCACCGGGGGTAAAGAAGAATTCGTCCTCGAATTGACAACCTCATCATCACCAACGAACGGGAACAAGTGCTTAACATTAAAAACATTGGCCGTGTGCATGTGGGGAGGCAAACGAAGCCTGTAAGCATTATTATTAATCTTCTCCAATACTTCCAAAGGACCAATCTTACGAGCTTTCAGTTTATTGTATGTCGAAGCCGGAAATCTATCTTTTGTCAAGACAGCCCACACCAAATCACCAACTTGAAACTGCACTTCTCGTCTATGAACATCAGCCGCCGCTTTATACTTAACTGTTGCAGCCTCTAAATTTGCTTTGACCTTGTCATGAACAGAACGAAACTCATCAACAACATCACAAGCTCTCCCATGAAAACGTGAACGATCTGGAGCAACACCTAAGTCAAGTGGACCACGAGGTGCAAAACCATACATCACGTGAAATGGACTAAATCCCGTGCTACGATTCACTGCATGATTATGCGCAAACTCAGCCTGACAAAGAACCCTATCCCAAGAGTGAATATTGTCACCAACCAAGCACCGCAAAAGATCACCTAATGCACGATTAGTCACTTCAGTTTGGCCGTCGGACTGAGGGTGATAAGCCGAGCTCATATCCAAACTAGTTCGGAGCAACTTCCACAACGAACGCCAAAAATGGCTCAAAAATCGAGAATCTCGATCAGAAACAATGGACAAAGGAAGACCATGAAGACTATAAATCTCGCGAAAAAATAATACAGCCACCTGTGAAGCATCCGTTGTCTTTTTGCAAGGAATAAAATGAACCATTTTTGAAAATCGATCAACAACCACAAAAATAGAATCATTACCACGTTGCGTACGGGGTAAGCCAAGGACAAAGTCCATGCTAACATCAGTCCATGGTTGTGTTGGAATCGGTAAAGGCAAATACAATCCAGCATTAGAGGCTTTACCCTTTGACGCTTGACAAGTCCCGCACCTGACCACGAACCGCTCAACATCTCTTCTCAATGTAGGCTAGAAATAAGATTCAGCTACTAGCTTAAGTGTCCTATCACGTCCAACGTGTCCTTCTCCATGTAATTCCTGAATCACTTGTAACCTGAGACTACAGTCGGGAATACAAAGCTTAGTCCCCCGAAACAGAAAGCCATCCACAACAAGATAATCAGAGCTACTGTCCATCTCAATGTCATTCCAGATTTTCTTAAAAAAAGGGTCCGTAGGGTACAGCTCCGGTAACATTTCAAAACCAGTGATTGATGCATGAGAAGTCGCGAGTAGTGAGTGTCGTCGGCTAAGCGCATCAGCCACTCTATTAAGCGTACCCGCCTTGTGCTTAATCACAAACGTGAACTGTTGTAAATATGCAAACCACGAAGCATGCCGCGAAGAAACCTTATCTTGAGCTCCTATATGCTTAAGTGCGTCATGATCAGTAAACAACACAAACTCCTTATGAAAAAGATAGTGACGCCAATGCTTAACAGCTTGAACAACGGCGTATAGTTCAACATCATACGTACTATAACGCCCACGTGAACCCGCTATCTTCTCACTAAAGAAGGCGACCGGTTTGCCCAATTGACTTAACACCGCTCCAATACCCGTTTTAGATGCATCGCAATGGAGTTCAAATGCTAAAGAAAAATTAGGAAGTACCAGAACAGGGGCTGAAGATAGCCTCATATTTATTTCTTGGAAAGCAGCTTCAGCTTCTTCCGTCCAAACAAAGGTACTGGACCGCATACAGTTCGTAATCGGAGCCATTATACCGCTAAAATGTTGAATAAATCGCCGGTAAAAAGAGGCCAGTCCATGAAAACTCCGAACTTCCGTCACAGTACTCGGTGAAGGCCATGATTGTATTGCACTTACTTTAGACGGATCAACTTTCAAACCTTCTGTAGAGATGACATAGCCAAGGAAAATCACTTGCGAGACTCCAAACGAACACTTTTTAGGGGGTGTTATTCACTCATGGAGTTAAAGTCAATTCTTAAAGGTTTAGATTTGATTTCTGCTATTGTTTTTAACAATCTGTTTGTGTAGAGTTCAAAATCTCTGCAGTATATCCCGGATTATGATTCTAATGATTTACTCATGAAACTCCAAAGATGTTTCATTTCAAATGATTTGATATACAAAGATTTTACAAGTCTTTTAGTTTCGAATAACACTGGATTTTAATGAAGCATTTTAAATCTTAGTTGAATAACACCAAACTTTAAAATCTATTAGAGTTAGATTTAAAATCATTAGGTTAATAACACTGGATTAGTGTTGGATTTCAATTCTATTAAAATCCATCATTGAATAACACCACCTTAGAAGCACCAAATAATTTTTCACGGCGTAATACAAGAAGCACTGCACGCAAATGGTCAAGATGCTCTGCAAGAGACGAACTAAAGATTAATATATCGTCAAAATACACAACCACAAATCGCCCAATAAAAGGTCGCAACGCTTGGTTCATAACACGCATGAACGTGCTCGGTGCATTTGACATCCCAAAAGGCATAACCAACCATTCAAATAATCCTTCTCTTGTTTTAAACGCAGTTTTCCACTCATCTCCAGGACGTATACGAATTTGATGATAGCCACTCTTCAAGTCTAATTTGGTGAATATAGTAGCTGAACCAATCTGATCCAACAGGTCGTCTAAGCGAGGGATAGGAAATCGATACCGCACAGTAATCTTATTAATCGCACGACTATCAACACACATACGCCATGTTCCATCTTTTTTGGGAATAAGAAGTGCAGGCACCGCGCACGGACTTAAACTTTCGCGAACATATCCCTTAGCGAGAAGCTCTTCTACTTGACGACGCAGCTCATCATGCTCTTTCGGACTCATACGGTAATGAGGACGATTAGGCAACACCGTATTTGGCACTAAATCGATGCAATGTTGAATATCTCGCAACGGTGGCAAACCGTCGGGTAAATCATCAGGGAAGACATCTTGAAACTCGTGCAACATCTCATGGAAAGCTTTTGGTGCGGTTTCTTGCAGCAACGAAGTACCTGGTTTCAAAATTAGAAGATACATCAAATTGGTACTTTGAATTTCGTCAAAAACCTGAGTCTTTGACACCAACAACGCAGGTTTAGAAATCTCTGGTGAAATCACTGCCTTCTTGTCTTGACTAGCAACCAAAGGCTCGGATGCCGACTGTGAGGGCAGCAAAGTAATGCGTTTCCCTTCGAAGCTAAAACTATGAGTGTTTGTGAACCCGTCATGCATTGTTCGTCGATCGTACTGCCAAGGACGTCCCAACAAAAGATGACAAGCGTCCATAGGCAGAACATCACAACAAATGAGATCTTTATAGTTTACTCCTATTGAGAACGGCACACGACAACGCTTTGAAACATAAGTGTCAGTAGATGAATTCAACCAAGCCAATGGATAAGGAGTCGGATGAGGTTCTGTGAACAAGGCCAGCTTTGTCACGGCTTCCTCCGAGATGACATTGGTGCAACTCCCTGAATCAATAATCATACGACAAACCTTCCCTCGAATCGTACAAGTGGATTGAAAAATATTAGTATGTAACCATGATTCTTCAACTCCGCGAGGAAGAAGATGGTTGCGTCGTAACATCAACATAGTCCCTGTGTCACCGATTACTTGCTCACCGTTCTCTTCAGCTTCACCATTATCATCTACATAGTCATCATAAACCGGATCATCATTAGCAAACAGTCCGCGTCGTAGCTTTGGACAAGCTGATTGGCGATGGCCAAGCTCGCCACAATTGAAACATTTAAATCCCGGAGCTTTATGTGGTGCAATCGTAGGACTTGCTTCTGATTTGTCAATGGCGATTGAGTGATCGAGAATTTTGTTATTGTTAGTCTCTGTAGTAAAAGCTGGCCGAACACGAGAAGAATTCCAAGTAGCAGCTTGACTCCGAGAGTTCTGCTCGATCAACAGAGCACGTTGATGTGCTTCAGAAACTGTTAAAGGATTAAATTGAAGCAGCGTATTCTGAATTTGTACCCTTAATCCCCCAATAAAACGAGATACTAACTGGTCCTCTGTTTCGCTTAAAGGGTTCCGAGCAAGTAATGAAAAGAATTCTATGGCATAATCATCTACTGTTTTTGCCCCTTGCCGCAAATTTTGGAACTTTGTGTAGATCGTACGAGCATAATTGTAAGGAAGAAAAGCTCTTCTCATCAATTTTTTTAATTTTTCCCAAGA